CATGAAGGGTCCATTTTGCACAAATAATAAATCAATTTATTCTGAGAAGCAATAATCCAGAATTTGATCCCTAATAATATTAGTCCAGGAATTAATTCCATTTAAGAATATGATTATAATAATTAATCTGGTTATCAGCGATCTCTTCAATTATTAAGTCAATTATGAACTTTGTAGATCTTGATTTAATCTAACCACTTTAAGGATAGTAATTAATACTTCTTATTCTAGAAAGGTCATATAAAAATTCATAATTAATCAAGGTATTCTCGGGATAAGAAATCCGGAAGGGAATTATCAATTCCTTTTTTGTATTGAATTTCAAAATCAAAAGGCGCTAGTTGAGCTTGCCATCTAGCAAATATTAACTTAGACGCATCATGTTTAAAATCTTTGTCAAACATACATTTAATAGATTGAGCATCAGTTTTTATTAAAAACTTTTGATTATATAAATCGTCTTGAAATTTTAGAACACATTTAACAATAGTCAACATTTCATGAGCCATAGTAGCATATTTCTTCTGGGCTTCGGTCCATTTACCAGAGTGAAATCTTATCAGGTATTCACTCTTATTGTTGTGACAAGAGGGGTTGCTCTGATGGTAAGCAACCTCCACTTCCAACCAAGAGGTTGTGAGTTCGAGTCTTCCCAAGAGCAAGGTGGGAAGTTCTTGGAGGGAAGGATGTCGGGGGTCTATTTGGAAACAGCCTCTCTACCCCAGGGTAGGGGTAAGGTCTGCGTACACACTACCCTCCCCAGACCCCACTAAGTGGGATTATACTGGGTGGTGGTTGTTGGTTGTTGTACTCTTATTGTTGGGATTTACTTGTTTTAAAATCCCTCCATAGCCAATGTTAGACGCATCTGTCTCGATAATATTTTGCCATGTAGGATTAGCAAGAGTTAAGCAAGGTAAAGACTTAACACGTTTAATACTTTTGACTAACGCAATATGCTGGTCAGTCCAAGGCTGCTTATGATCCTTTTTCAGCCTATCGTATAGAGCCTAGAAATATTCATGGTAAATATGTAATAGATATGAAATATTCAACATAGATATGAAGCTTTTGGAATGGATCTGGGAGAAACAAGAACTAAAATCAATTAAATCAACTTCATCTTTAGATTCAGTCTCAGAGTAATAGTCAGATTCTGATCCTGAAGTGTATTACAAGCCATAAACCTTATCGCGTAACTCATCATCGAGTTCTAAGGTTTTCAGCTTTTGAAGCTTGCAATTTGGAGAAATATGACCAAACTTTCCACACTTATAACACTTAATATCAGCGAGATCTCTCTTTGATCTATTCTTCGTAAATCGAGTAGATTTCCGATGCGCTTTTCTAGTATCACGCTCTTCCTTAGACCTATATCTAGACCTCTTTTTCTTATACGGGCTATCCGGGTTAGGATACCTATGATATTTTTTTTTCTTCTTCCTACTTTGAGTAGAGGTTCCGGGTAAACCGAACTGGGTACAGAAGTCACCTAATTGGGATTTCTCTTTAAGCTTATCAATCTTAAGCTGTCTAGAAAGCTTTAGCTCATTACACAAGTTTAATCCTTCTTGTGTACATACTCCTATAAGTTTACCATAGGTATAATTACCATACTGAATTTCACCGTAACTACCCCTTAATACTTTCCTTACTCTTTCAGCAAATAAGGAAGGGAGGTCGTCTATAAACTTGGCTTTCCAATGCTCATATTTATTCTCGGGTAGTTCCATAACCATACTCATAAAAGTATCTTTATACCATCTAAATTCACTAAGGGTCTTACATCTAAGCCCATTAAGTAAGGTTCTGATGGTCTCTTGGTTTGAGGTAAATCTACTATTGAAATGCTCTAAAATTGTAAGGATAAGTGTATATACTGCATCTTCTCTACCCTGAACTAGAGCCATACCTATGTTATCAATACCCTCGTCTACGGCTGTAGCACTAATAACGAAAGCCTTCTCTTCAACAGATAAATAATTATCCCACTAGCCACGAAGTTGGCCAGTAAAACCTGCAATAATCATTTTGCAAATAGTTCTATCCGTATTTTTAACACTTTTGCAAATAGTCGAATACATAAGCATTCTATGTACGAGAATGGTTAATTATCTATCAGTTAAACCATCAAGATTCCATTCATAAATTTCGGAACCGCTATAAGACGTATTAGTCTGATTCCAATCGCGTTCCTCAATCAGCACATCTTGAGGAGTAGGACGGGGATAATAGTAAGTTTGCATTCTAAACCGTTAACCCTTAAAGGATTATCAGAGACCTTTTTAGCAGCTCTTAGAGATGCTAGAAATCTAAACTTCAGACAGTCTCTGATGGGTTCGATTGAATCTACTGTGGCCTATGGTCCAGTATATTTTAATACTCAACCCAATCTGCAACTATCTCTTTCTGATGTTAATATTCTTGATGCCTTGACTTTAAATGTGAAAACGCATGGTTATAATTATGCGCCTGGTTCTGAACTTATATGTCTGTCTTATAGGATTTATTTTAAATTATTATCTACTTTGAATCCTAGATGTAAGTTATATGATACATCAGATCAGACCATACTGGTAGAAACAAACTTTGCAAGGTCCAAGGTCACCACTAGGAGACCTATTAGGTGGGAAGAAATTAATTTCCCAACTACTTGGACTTTAAATTCGGTTATATCCCCAAGTCAGATTACTAACGACTTGTCGAATACTGAATTTTCGCATGTTACTCAAAATTCCGATGGTAGGATTTGTATTCAATTTGATGATAAGTCTACTATTTATAATAGACATTCATTTTCTAATCATAGACTTCTACCTGCTATTCAACATATTTCTCCTATTGAACCAGTCTATGGTCCAGCTCGCAATCGTGCAGCCTCTTTACACACTATTGCTAGTAAAGTTAGTAATAAGCCTGTCGAAAGAGTTGAAAGGGTTAAAGTTAACCCTCAAACAAATATTGTTCAGGATAATGACAATATTTCAGATAAGGATATTCCTTCTGTATCCGAGATGGATTTCGACCCATCTCAGGAGGTCTTTGAATATGAGTAAGAATAGCTTGATCAACTGTTTTACTTCCTGAAGTGGAGACAATATCAGTTGGTCCTTTCTTAGTACTCATTTCCTTTATTAAAATAGTCAAATCATCAAGTTTTCTATCAAGAGAACCAATATGTTCTCCTAAAATCTTTACATAAACCCAAATAATTGTTTTGAGAAATCAATTTATTAATTTCTGCGATACTAATAGCTGCAACATTATCATCAATAAATTTTTGAAAAGTAGTGAAGGTAATACCAGTATTATTAGGTAAAATAAAGGGGGCCTGAGGAGGATAAATAGCTTTAATAATATTACCACTCCCATCTTTATAAGATCTTTCTAATACTTTTATATAAAGAGGCAAATAAGTTGTTATAAACCAAGGAACAAAATACGTAATTTGATTATGCAGGGAACAAGTTTCATAAAATTCTTGAGAAATATTATTCAAATCATCTTTGCTATAAGCATCAAAAAACCACGTTTTAAACTGGCTCCATTTATCACTAAAAAATTCCTTCTGAATATATTTTCGTGCCCGAGAACCGGGGCTAAAATCAATTTGGTGTGGAATCATTAAGTACTATTGGGGTCGAAATCCATCTCGGATACAAAAGGAATATCCTTATCTGAAATATTGTCATTGTCCTGAACAATATTTGATTGAGGGTTAACTTTAACCCTTTCAACTCTTTCGACAGGCTTATTACTAACTTTACTAGCAATAGTGTGTAAAGAGGTTGCACGATTGCGAGCTGGACCATAGACTGGTTCAACAGGAGAAATATGTTGAATAGCAGGTAGAAGTCTATGATTAGAAAACGAATGTCTATTATAAATAGTAGACTTATCATCAAATTGAGTACAAATCATACCATCCGGATTTTGAGTAACATGCGAAAATTCAGTATTCGACAAGTCGCTAGTAATCTGACTTGGGGATATAATCGAATTTAAAGTCCAAGTAGTTGGGAAATTAATTTCTTCCCACCTAATAGGTCTCCTAGTGGTGACCTTGGACCTTGCAAAGTTGGTTTCTACCAGNCCCACCTAATAGGTCTCGTAGTGGTGACGTTGGACCTTGCAAAGTTGGTTTCTACCAGTATGGTCTGATCTGATGTATCATATAACTTACATCTAGGATTTAAAGTAGATAATAATTTAAAATAAATCCTATAAGACAGATATATAAGTTCAGAACCAGGCGCGTAATTATAACCATGCGTTTTCACATTTAAAGTCAAGGCATCAAGAATATTAACATCAGAAAGAGATAGTTGCAGATTGGGTTGAGTATTAAAATATACTGGACCATAGGCCACAGTAGATTCAATCGAACCCATCAGAGACTGTCTGAAATTTAGATTTCTAGCATTTCTAAGAGTTGCTAAAAAGGTCTCTGGTAATCCTTTAAGGGTTAACGGTTTAAACACAATTTGAACCATACCAATATGCAGATAATGATAATGATGTTTATATAAATCTATATCGTGTTTGTTTAATAAACGAATAGTCTGTTCAGACGAATTTAACGCCAAAGACTGTTTAGTCGTTTTTATCAATTGTTTAGAAAAAAGTTTATCAAACCAACCATAATCATAAATGGTTTTTATAGAAACTTTAGGAATTGTCCATTTATTTAATAAATCAAGGTTTTGAGGTATATCTAAGTCTAGTACTTTTAGTACTTGTTTCTCCCAGATCCATTCCAAAAGCTTCATATCTATGTTGAATATTTCATATCTATTATATATTTACTATGAATATATATATATATATATATAACTAAGAACTCAATAGCTTAAAACTATTAGAATTACGAACCCATAAACTTGAAATTCTGGTTCAGCCGGTATTTTTGCTGTCAAATAATTTTCTTTTTTTTTCTCGATATTTTGATACAAGGAAATATAAGGTAACACAATCAAGTCCCACTTCCTTCAGATGGCGCATGCAGTTAATATGAATTCAAATTATCAAGGCTTAGCTATACCAAGCACCAAAACCTCTCTTTTTTCCCCAATTTTGTTCGTTCTCCTTTGTGTTTGTGTGCCCTAGAAAAAAATTATGACAGACGTTCAGATGAGAGACGAGGAGGAGAAGAGTGGAGGGTTTGAGGTGATCCGAAAGAAGTTGGAGGAATGGGACATTTTGCCCTACCAGTACCAAATTTTCAACAAGGACGAGTCTCCCAATTGGCGCCACCCTTTGTTCACCGATCGTACCGCTAACGAAATGCTAGCCTGTTTCTATGAGCTATGCAACTATTACCAAAGGTTTTTTCACTATCTCTCTTGATATTCCTCCTTAGTTTTTTTGAATATACTTGCTATCAGTGTTTCTTCTATCTTCTTTAGCCGGAGAGTCAATCAGAAACCGTCTCTTTACCCTTCCAGGGTAGGGGTAAGGCATACTATCCTCCACAGACCCTACTCGTGGGATTATGCTGGGTGATTGTTGTTGTTGCTGCTATTCCTCCTTCATTACACACACACACCCCTATTTTTGGTAACCGGTAAAGTTGCTGCCATGTGGCCGAGAGGATTCGAGCCATGGAAACAGCCACTTGCAGAATGCAGGGTAAGATGCGTATAATAGAATCTTGTGGTCCAACCCTTCCCCGGACCTCATGTATAATGGGAACTTAGTGCACCGGGCTACCCCTTGCTAAGCTACTGTCGTCCATGATGACTCATGGACCATGAGGTGTCAAGTTCAAATCTCGGTGGAGGCAAAACACTAGTTGATTTTTCCCCATTTGTCCAAGTTTTTATGGACAGAGTTAGCTGGTACCTCGTAGAATTAGTCCCTAGCCCGAATACCACGGTTATAAAGAAAAGAAATGGTTATCGATGAATATGTTAATGATTAGGAATATAAAGATTAAAATAGTGTTAGTAGTATAAGAGAACTAGTCACTAATATCCCCTTGGGCTTTGGTTCTAACGGTTAGAGCGACAACGCGTGACGTTTGGGTTAGGCTCATGTCATGAGGTTCGAACCCTGCCGCGGACAAAAGTATGGTACTTAAGTGGAGAATCCACCGAGTTTCGAACTGTGGGCCTCTGGCGTTGGGGGATTTCTAGGTTATCAAAATAAAAATATTAAAAAAACGAATCACTAACATTGAATTAGGAAATTATAACAACATTTTTGCATCTGAATCAGATTTATTAAATGGTCTTTGAACTTGATTGACATGACTTTTATTTCATTAAGTTATACTTTCATTAATTCCTCTGCCAATATTATTATCGTTTGTATTTAGAGTTATTTTTCTTGCATCATATATTTTCTCACTATAGCGTTAAAGTGCATTTGCTTCAAGCCCCGAAAACCTTGATACCTTTTTTATTAAAGTTAAATTCTACCTGCTCTGAATTTGTCGATGTCCCATTTCACTTGACCAGTTAAGAAGCTTGACATCCACAATCTTATTCTTTCTGCTCTGATCTTCTCTGGTTGCCGAAATGCAGCTTCAAGTTCTCACTTGAGCCCATGATAGTTGATGAGGTGAAGCTTTGCAGCTACTCTGAGTTGCAAGACATTATTGATTTCAAGGCTGAGAGCTTGATTCAGAAGAATCTTTCAGGAAGATTGTTTCGTGGCACCATTGGTGATGGATCTGAAAAACGACCGGCGATTGTTAAGACATGGGATTTTCTCCTTCCTTGGGGGGATGAGCCTGAGCATCCCCAACGCCTACATAAATTTTGTGTATGTTTGCGAGATAGGTCTGAATTTGATTTCTTGTCTATTATTTTTAGTTAAATGATGTCAAGAGTTCTTTTTGTAGGACGAGATCGAGTTATTCACAGATGAAAGAGCAAATACGCATCCAAATTTGTTGAAGTTGTATAGGTACTGTTATGAGATGAGGCTTGCAGCTGTCTATGATGAAAAATTCACGAGAGTCTTGTCTGATGTGCTTCTGGCTGGTATTTATTACCTCGACTATTATGTTGAATGACTGTTCAGTCCGAATTTTCTGTGCTTTTTTATGATTTCTTTTTCTCGTTCGCAGATGACTTTGGGTGGGATGACCGGATAAAAGTGGCAACTCAACTTGCCGATCTCTTGGCATGGTTGCATGAAAAGAGAGTTGTTGTTGGGTATTGCTTCATGCATTATGATAGATGAGGTTGAGTTTGAAACCTCGGTTGCCTTCTCGCGCTTTTCATTTCTCTTAGATATTTGAAGTTTCTAACACGTATTACCTTACTGGCTTGCTGGAACCTGGAAATTGTTTTGGCTTGCAGGAAGTAAATATAAAAGTATTCGACTTTGGTCACTTTTCAAATCATGTGAGCGAAGATTGTAAAATTCCTGTTAAATATCTTGTCGGCAGGGATGCTCCAGAGGTTTGGACAGGCATGTTCTCTCATACTTCATCATCTCTGATGTGTTCATGCTCTAGATTGAAGATTTTCTTTTTATTTGAGGTTTTGGTTTCATCAATCAAAATGCTCCACTTTTTCCCTTTCTTTGCATTTTTTCCCTTTTCCTATTATCCTTATTACCCTTGTAACGAACAAGCTAGGTTTAGTTGTTAGACAAGACATTCTAGTTATGTGTCAGAGCCTATGGTTAGTTATGAAACTTCGATAGAAATGATAAGTTCTATGCATTGCAGTGTAAAAGATAGTTACACAGTCAGATCACTTGTTAGGTAATTACATGTAAATCTCTTGATAAGTACTACTTAGTAATCTGGTAAAAGAGGTAACTAACCTGCTATCACATGTTAAAATTCACCGGTCGTCTTTATGTTGTTAGTATATAGAATTTAAATTCTTCCATAGTTTCTATCATCTTTTCCCCATTGTATTGTATGCATCAATCAAATTGTACTAGAATTCTAAATTAAATAAACTTCTATGTTTTGAAACATGTATTGATGATGTCTTCCCTTCGAAACTTCTGTGATTGCTCTCCTTCCATATAGTCCATAAAACACATGCTAGAATGGTCCTCCAGATTTTCTTCATCTCTTTGTTCCCTTTGCAGCACAGCCAGCTACTTAGTAGCTCTTTTGTGGTTGATGACGTTGCCCACTTTATCACAAAAATGTACAGGAAAATATTCCAAATCTTTCTGGTAACTGCAATGCAAAAATTGTACAGGAAAAAATTCCAAATCTCTCGTACAAGTTGGTATTGTTTGTAGTTTCTTATCTTGGTATCCTGGATTATATTAATTTATGATAATCTCTGTTGCTCGGACTGGGGTGCGGGTATCCGATACGGGTGCTGATCTAGAGAACGGATTCTTCATCACATAACTTTAGGACGGGTATGGATCAGACTATGGATACCGATGCTAGGATACGGACAATAAATGTATATTACGACACATATAAGTATATGTTCGAGTACTTAAAATCTATGTTGCGCGGACTCTCCAAAATATTGCCGCACCCGTGTCGGATTCTCCAAAATTACACTGCTTTTGGAGAATCCGACACGCACCCGGCGATATTTTCGGAGAGTCCGAGCAACATAGCTTAAAATTATTGTTACAACAACAACAACAAACCCAGTGGAATCGCACAAAGTTATTGATAAAACTAATAAAATTTGATTCTTTAAAAACACCTAATACTATATTCATGTAATAGCAAAAAGCTCTCTTACTTTATATAACTATATATGTGACATCAAACCGCAAAATCAAATCGACTATCCAATCAGTCTATACTTCTCGGTCATAGATGTAGTCAAAGCACCCACGGTGAGTTGACCAAATCCTGGGATATCCTACACCCACACCCTGCAGCAAGGATTTGAAGAGTCCAAGCAACATAGCTGTTAACTATGTCTACTGAAGAGGTCTTGTGCCTTGTTCCTATATATTGTTCATTAGAGTGCATAAACTCCTCAGCTCAGCAGCTGATTCTGCCAATAACTTTCATATTTTTATGTTTTTGGCTGAAACAGAAAAGAGCTAGTGGAAAGAAGTCTGAGTTTAGAATTATGACTTTTGAGCTTTCTCCCGTGGAGAATTTTCATTATATTTGATGTTTCTATTATATGCCATTATATTTTTTACATAATTTGTCTGCTTTTCTCTACTAAGTGAAGTTCTGTTCTTATATTTTCTGGATCGATACAGGTAAGCGGACGATGAAATCTGATGTTTATATATTTGGTCTTCTACTTCTGGAGCTGATAAGCAAAAAGAAGTTCAATTTTCGCAAGAATCCTGTGAGTGTGAGAAATTCAGTTGTAAAGGAGGCTAAACTTTGTGAAAAATATTTGGTTCATGAATGTTTCAAAGAAGTTGATCATCCAACTGCACTTGATATCACATATCTGGTATTCCTCTGCATGAATCTGGAACCAGAAGAAAGGCCAACGATGAAGGATGTTTTAGATGCTTGAGAGCACTGAGTAAGGGAGTGAAGAGGGAGAAACGAAAAAGAGATGAAAACGAGGAAGAATAGAATAAACTATCCTCGCTTTTACTTTTTATATAGACTGAATTTCGTAAAGTGTAACCCCAGGTTGGCCTGGTGGCAATTGACTTGAGCCTTGGGGTTTGCTCCCTTTCAAGGTCTCAAGTTCGAAACCCATTGGGTGCAAACAATTTATGAGGGCCATCGAACTGGGTAAAACCTGAATTAACCGTGGTGCACTTGCGGGAAACTCCTTGCCGAGGGCCTGTACACCCCCAGGATTAGTCGGGTCTCTTAGAGACTCGGACACCCGGTGCAAATCAAAAAAAAAAAATCATAAAGTGTAGTAGCTATAGAGTTGATTACTAATAGTACTAGTTCGAAAGGCTCGTTGGAATTGAACTACTGCGGGATTAACATTTATACAGCTTGTGTGGCACAGCTTCTTTGTAGAAAAGGAAAGTATTTTGGTAGAGCTTTGTAGAAAAGGAAAGTATTTTGGTAGCGCTTTGTAGAGGAAGAATGTATTTGACGAATTCCTATCCTTTAAACAAACTATTGTAGACATATCTTTCTTTTTTTTTTTTTTTTGGTTGCTTATTTGCTTTCGAACTGTTGCTATTATTTTTGTTGTTTTATTTTTACTGTTCTTTTAATCTTGGATCCATCAGAAACCTCATCTGTAACTTTATAAGATAGAGGTAAGGTTTGCGTACACACTACCCTCCCAAACCCCACTTATGAGAATACAGTGGGTTTGATGTTGTTATTGTTGTATTCTCTTTCGAACTATATCTGATGTGCAAAGTCTCCTATCTGACTTTACCATTGTTATTAATTATGACAATGATTAGTGTTATTGCTATCCTTATCCTTATTAAGTATTATCATTACGTTTATGTGGAGTTTTATTAGAATTATAATTTTTTTATCATTAATATTTTTACTATTATTGATATTATAATAATATTATTTTTGCTATTATCACTTATTTTTCTGTTGTCTTTTAAATCTGATTCACTCGGTATCTTTATGCTCGAGTGTGTGTATGTGACCAATCATTGGACTTAAAACATCTGGAGGCAACAAAGGAACAAAACAAGTAGTATACCTGCACAACATGAGAAAATAATATTGTATTATCGCTTTTAAAATAATTGTCGAAAATTTACTGGTAAAATTGTTGTCATGTGATCAGTAGGTATGTGATTGAGAAAAATTTCCACAAACAAGACTTGTGAACTCCCCTGTGAGAAGGATTAACCTAAATGGTATTCACTCACGTTTAAATTAAAAATAATATGTGAATTTATATATATGTATATTACATATAGACTACCTTTGACCAATGCTCTCTCGATTTTGCGCCTTTTCTTGACCTGGGGGTACTCTTTTGTGATAGCTCCCTTCAACCCAACATGAATTTTTTAAACATAAAATCGGACTTAGTTATAAACACGGACAATGTAGTAAACTTTTTACGGCAAGTGTAATATAACCTTGTACAAGCTTTCTTAGTTAAATAAAATCTTTTAGTTTGACAAAAAAATGTAAAATTTATATATGTAAAATATGTATATGCCAGTATATAATCGTATATAAGTTATATATACCAGCTAGAAAAAGCATAATAAAACCGGTCAGCTATTTGGGGAAAGATCCCAACTATATTATAGTGGAAATGACATCAGGTAGCCACTTTTAAGCATATTGTTTAAAATATATTCACACTTTACAATGTATTTAAATATTAGTCAATTTTACTCAAATTTCAGGATACGGTTGTTTGCATCAAATTTTCGACACACGAAAAATAACTGCAATCACAAAAGAACTAGTCCCTCCGATTTATTCTACGTGATTCGAGGGCTTAACCAGCGTATTTTTCGAATGTAGGATGATGCAAACTTTCTTAAGGTGTATTTGATCTCCATGAAAAGGAAGAACATTCGTTGATTGCTTCAGCAGCTTTGAGAAAAACAATATTTGATGTCTTTGATCTCTTCGTCAATATTCCATGAATTTGTATGGAATTTCGAGATTTCATATTTGATCTCTTTGTGCATATTCCAAGAGTTTATGGAATTGCTGAGATCCTAATAGACTCCTAATATTTCAAGAGTTGTCTTGAATTTATGATTTATCTTGATATGTCAAAATTCTAGTGTCTACAAATGCCCCGTACTTCAAGGTTTGTCGAGGTGTAGGCGTGCTGAAACTTGAAGACGAGACTTGAAGTACCCGACCATCACAACAGATAGTCTTGAAACTTGATGTTTTTGATTTGCAGGAGGAAGAGATGAAGGGCATAACTGGTCTCACTGGGCATGCCAATTTGTTTGCAATAAATTTTCAACATATGAAAAATAAACTGCAACCACAAAATAAGAGAAAAATATATTTACTAATCAATTGTGAGTACAATTCTGTTCTCCGTTGGTTCCTCTCTCCTAATTATCTCCATGATTCGAAGGCTGAAACCGCATATTTCTCGAGTGTAGGATGATGCAGACCTCCTGGGATGTATTTGATCTCCAGCTTCTTGAACTATTTGATTGTCAAGAAGTATCCGGCCATATTTTGATCTCTTTGTGAATATCCTAAGAGTTTATAAGATTTTGAGATACCTCTTTAAGGGAATATGTATCCCTTTATATATGTGTGAGTTAGGGTTTAGGGTAGAGTAACCTCCAAGAAACCTTAATAGACTCCTAGGATTTCAAGAGTCCTGTAGTATCTTTAATTTAGGATTTGGCTTGATCCCTTAAAATTTCGATGTCTACAAATTCGTGGGATCCTTTTGTGGCGCCGACGATGAGTCACCAATGTCCAACCTTCATCATCCTCAGGTTGATTGACTTCAACTTTGTCATTCTCCAGTAATTCTTCATCCTTACTTTCTTTAATACCGCATAATTCATCTGGACTAAATGAGCCAAAGGTGATAGAGACTTGGTTTGCGCTTGCTTTCTCATCTTCAAGCACGATCTTCTTTTCGCGAGCCAAGTCCATGACTTTGTCCTTGAAGACAAAGCACTTTTCCAGAGGGTGGCTCACAAGTCCATGGTATTTGCAGTAATTTGGGTCATTTGTTTTCCCAGCCTCATTTGGTCGCTTCATCTCTGGAAGCTCAATGAGATTTAACTCGAGGAGTTCTTTAAAAATAGTTGGCATATCAGAATCGAGAAATGGGTACTCTTTCTCTTGCATTTCTTTAAAAGTCAACTTTTCACTTGGCTTATCTTGAAAAGAAGTGGATTTCATACTCTGCTTCTTGCTCACATTCGTCGTGAACTTCATAGGTGATGTGTTGACATTCCTAGCTCTTTGCTTTCGGACTTGGATATGAACTTGCCCCACTTCCTCACTTCTTGCTTGTCTCCTTAAAATTTCGATGTCTACAAATGTCCCTTACTTCAAGGTTTGTCGGGGTGTAGGCTTGCCAAAACTTTAAGACAAGACTTGAAGTACTCGACCATCGCAACAAATAGTTTTGAAACTTGAGTTTTCGATTTACAGGAGAAGAGATGAAGAGCAGAACTATTCTCACTGGGCGTGCCAATTTGTTTGCAATAAATTTTCAACATATGAAAAATAAATTACAACCACAAAATAAGAGAAAAATATATTTACTAATCAATTGTAAGTACAATTCTGTTTCTCCCTTGATTCCTCTCTCCTAATTATTTCCGTGATTCGAGGGCTGAAGTCGCATATTTCTTGAATATAGGATGATGCAGACTTCCTGGGAGTGTATTTGATCTCTAGCTTCTTGAACTAATTGATTGTCAATAAGTATCCGACCATATTTTGATCTCTTTGTGAATATCCTAAAAATTTATAGGATTTTGAGATACCTCTTCAAGGGAATGTGTATCCCTTTATATAGGTGTGAGTTAGGTTTTAGGGTAGAGTAACCTCCAAGAAACCTTAATAGACTCCTAGGATTTCAAGAGTCCTGTAGTATCTTTAATTTAGGATTTGGCTTGATCCCTTAAAATTTTGATGTCTACAAATGCCCCCTACTTCAAGGTTTGTCGGGTTGTAGGCTTGCCAAAACTTTAAGACAAGACTTGAAGTACTTGACCACCGCAACAAATAATTTTGAAATTTGAGTTTTCGATTACAGAAGGAAGAGATGAAGGGCAGAATTGGTCCCACTGGGCGTGCCAATTTATTTGCAACAAATTTTCGACACACGAATAACTACAATAACAAAAGAACTGGTTCCTCGGATTTATTCTACGTGATTCGAGGGCTTAACCAGCGTATTTCTCGAATGTAGGATGATGCACACCTCCTTAAGGTGTATTTGATCTCCATGAAAAGGAAGAACATCCGTTGATTACTCCGGCGGCTTTGAGAAAGACAATATTTGATGTTTTTGATCTCTTTGTCAATATTCCATGAATTTTTATGGAATTTCGAGATTTCATGATCTCTTTGTGCATATTCCGAGAGTTTATAGAATTGATGAGATCCTAATAGACTCCTAATATTTCAAAAGTTATCTTGAATTTAAGATTTATCTTGATCTGTCAAAAATTCAGTGTCTACAACGGCGTCCTAGAGTTTAAACTTCAAAATTCAAACTTCAGAACATTGTGTCCTAAAGTTCGAAAATTGTGTCCAGAAGTTCGAATCTTATATTCTGAATTTTAAATTATTAGTTCAAAAATTAAGGATACTTAGTCCTGAATTTCAAATT